TTTGGCCATACCTCACCGCATTGTGTCGGGGGAGCACAGAAGTACAGGACAACGATCGGTTGCCCTGCCCTCTGATGCCCACCAACGTAGCCTACCCCTTAGCCTATAGCGCCCGTAATGAATGATAATGGCACCGATGCTGCAGTCAAAACCCAACTTAAAACTCTTTATTGTACCAGGCAAGGTGCATCGAGCTGCGGTACAGATTTGTGTTTTTTTTTGTTCAGACGCCACCGTGGGGCGATCACAGACGACAGCTCGACCAAGTTGGATATCGATATGGGCCCGATAATAACTGCTGGATGCGTGATGTTAACGATTCTGAAATGTGGATGGGAAAAATCCCGGAGGACTCGGGAGACGAATCCACGCCGACCACGGATGGGAGAGTGAGACGTAGACTCCGAATATACAGCAGCAATCCTCAGGGTTGAGATCGAACCCACGACCTCCTGTATACCGGGCGAGGTAGTTAACATCTCCTAGCCACCGTGATGATGATGATGAGAGAGAGACGCAAACTCCAAATATACAGCAGCAGGCGTCAGGGGTCATGATCGAACCCACGACCTCCTGTATACCAGGCGAGGTAGTCAACATCTCATAGCCACCGTAGCACCGGTACACTGGCGCGGCTCGGATGTGCCAGTGGAAAAGAGGTGGGAGGGGGGAGTGTTACACGTGTGTCTGTGTTTCTGTGTCCCCGTGTCTCCGTGTCTCTGTGTCCCCGTGTCTCTGAGTCCCCGTGTCTATTGAGTCCCCGTGTCTCTGTGTCCCCGTGTCTCTGAGTCACTGTGTCTCTGTGTCCCCGTGTCTCTGTGTCTCTTGAGTCCCCGTGTCTATTGAGTCCCCGTGTCTCTGTGTCCCCGTGTCTCTGAGTCACTGTGTCTCTGTGTCCCCGTGTCTCTGTGTCCCCGTGTCTTTGTGTCCCCGTGTCTCTGTGTCCCCGTGTCTCTGTGTCTCTTGAGTCCCCGTGTCTATTGAGTCCCCGTGTCTCTGTGTCCCCGTGTCTCTGTGTCCCCGTGTCTCTGTGTCTCTGTGTCCCCGTGTCTCTGAGTCACTGTGTCCCCGTGTCTCTGTGTCCCCGTGTCTCTGTGTCTCTGTGTCCCCGTGTCTCTGTGTCCCCGTGTCTCTGTGTCCCCGTGTCTCTGTGTCCCCGTGTCTCTGTGTCCCCGTGTCTCTTGTGTCCCCGTGTCTCCGTGTCTCTTGTGTCTCTGTGTCCCCGTGTCTCTTGTGTCCCCGTGTCACCGTGTCTCTGTGTCTCTGTGTCCCCGTGTCTCTGTGTCCCCGTGTCTCTGTGTCTCTGTGTCCCCGTGTCTCTGAGTCACTGTGTCCCCGTGTCTCTGTGTCTCTGTGTCGCCGTGTCTCTGTGTCTCTGTGTCCCCGTGTCTCTGTGTCCCCGTGTCTCTGTGTCCCCGTGTCTCTGAGTCACTGTGCCTCTGTGTCCCCGTGTCTCTGAGTCACTGTGTCTCTGTGTCCCCGTGTCTCTGTGTCTCTGTGTCCCCGTGTCTCTGTGTCTCTTGAGTCCCCGTGTCTATTGAGTCCCCGTGTCTCTGTGTCCCCGTGTCTCTGAGTCACTGTGTCTCTGTGTCCCCGTGTCTCTGTGTCCCCGTGTCTTTGTGTCCCCGTGTCTCTGTGTCCCCGTGTCTCTGTGTCTCTTGAGTCCCCGTGTCTATTGAGTCCCCGTGTCTCTGTGTCCCCGTGTCTCTGTGTCCCCGTGTCTCTGTGTCTCTGTGTCCCCGTGTCTCTGAGTCACTGTGTCCCCGTGTCTCTGTGTCCCCGTGTCTCTGTGTCTCTGTGTCCCCGTGTCTCTGTGTCCCCGTGTCTCTGTGTCCCCGTGTCTCTGTGTCCCCGTGTCTCTGTGTCCCCGTGTCTCTTGTGTCCCCGTGTCTCCGTGTCTCTTGTGTCTCTGTGTCCCCGTGTCTCTTGTGTCCCCGTGTCACCGTGTCTCTGTGTCTCTGTGTCCCCGTGTCTCTGTGTCCCCGTGTCTCTGTGTCTCTGTGTCCCCGTGTCTCTGAGTCACTGTGTCCCCGTGTCTCTGTGTCTCTGTGTCGCCGTGTCTCTGTGTCTCTGTGTCCCCGTGTCTCTGTGTCCCCGTGTCTCTGTGTCCCCGTGTCTCTGAGTCACTGTGCCTCTGTGTCCCCGTGTCTCTGAGTCACTGTGTCTCTGTGTCCCCGTGTCTCTGTGTCTCTGTGTCCCCGTGTCTCTGTGTCTCTGTGTCCCCGTGTCTCTGAGTCACTGTGTCCCCGTGTCTCTGTGTCCCCGTGTCTCTGTGTCTCTGTGTCCCCGTGTCTCTGTGTCCCCGTGTCTCCGTGTATCTGTGTCCCCGTGTCTCTGAGTCACTGTGTCTCTGTGTCCCCGTGTCTCTGTGTCCCCGTGTCTCTGTGTCACCGGGTCTCTGTGTCCCCGTGTCTCTGTCTCTGTGTCCCCGTGTCTCTGTGTCTCTGTGTCCCCGTGTCTCTGATTCCCCGTGTCTCTGTGTCTCTGTGTCACCGTGTCTCTGTGTCTCTGATTCCCCGTGTCTCTGTGTCTCTGTGTCCCCGTGTCTCTGTGTCCCCGTGTTTCTGTGTCCCCGTGTCTCTGTGTCCCCGTGTCTCTGTGTCTCTGTGTCTCAGTGTCCCCATGTCTCTGTGTCTCTGATTCCCCGTGTCTCTGTGTCTCTGTGTCCCCGTGTCTCTGTGTCCCCGTGTTTCTGTGTCCCCGTGTCTCTGTGTCCCCGTGTCTCTGTGTCTCTGTGTCCCCGTGTCTCTGTGTCTCTGTGTGCCCGTGTCTCTGTGTCCCCGTGTCTCTGATTCCCCGTGTCTCTGTGTCACCGTGTCTCTGTGTCTCTGATTTCCCGTGTCTCTGTGTCTCTGTGTCACCGTGTCACCGTGTCTCTGTGTCCCCGTGTCTCCATGTCCCCGTGTCTCTGTGTCCCCGTGTCTCTGATTCCCCGTGTCTCTGTGTCTCTGTGTCACCGTGTCTCTGTGTCCCCGTGTCTGTGATTTTCCGTGTCTCTGTGTCTCTGTGTCTCTGTGTCCCCGTGTCTCTGTGTCCCCGTGTCTCTGTGTCCCCGTGTCTCTGTGTCCCCGTGTCTCTTGTGTCCCCGTGTCTCTGTGTCACCGTGTCTCTGTGTCCCCGTGTCTCCGTGTCCCCGTGTCTCTGTGTCCCCGTGTCTCTGATTCCCCGTGTCACCGTGTCTCTGTGTCACCGTGTCTCTGTGTCACCGTGTCTCTGTGTCTCTGTGTCACCGTGTCTCTGTGTCCCCGTCTCTCTGATTCCCCGTGTCTCCGTGTCTCTGTGTCCCCGTGTCTCTGATTCCCCGTGTCTCCGTTTCTCTGATCCCCGTGTCCCCGCCGTAGGTCCCGATGGACGTGCTGCGACCCCCTCTGCTCCGCGTGGGAGGGCGCGTGTACCGCGTGAACCCCGTGCGGGAGCCCGAACTCTACCCCGGGGGTTACGAGGAAGAGGAGAGGGAGGATGAGGAGGAGGTGTTGGGCGAGGAGGAGGAGGACGCCGCGGATGGTGAGGATCCACAGCCCCCGAACGCTCTTCCTGCACTACGGCAGTAACTCCTGAATCCTGACTGCCTGCCCCGACAGCGCTTAGCCCCTACGGTGCAGCGACTACAGGGAGCCCTCTGCTCACGGACGTTCGACTTGTCAACTTTCACAGATACGAGCAAACCTTTTATATTTAGAGACCTCCTTTGCCAGTAACAAGATATAGTTAATAGGTTTTACCCTTTTAACTGGCACAAAAAAACTGACACCTTTATTTAAGGGCATCATGTCTGCAATAACCACAACACAAGCAGTCAAAAACGCAAACAAAAAGAGACAACTCTGGTAATGATATTGGCACTGTCCTTGAATTTGATTGGTCCACACCCGAGACGGTTTTCTTTAGAGCCCTTTAGTCTCCACTGGTGTTGGACCAGAAGACGCCAAAAGGCGTACAACTCAAAAACAGCGCACCATCAGAGTATTGCGGGCTCAGGGTGAGCATTTACATTATGAGACCAGTAACAAGATATAGTAATAGGTTTTACCCTTTTAACTGGCACAAAAACTGACACCTTTATTCAATTGCAAACATGATGCCTTGAATAAAGGTGTCAGTTTTTGTGCCAGTTAAAAGGGTAAAACCTATTACTACGAGCAAACCTGCCGCCCGTACGTCCAGTTGCCTACAAAGTCCCATCGCAAGGGAGAAACGCGAACAAACAGACGCAATTTTGGCTGCCCGTGTGGACCTGAACACTCAATTTCCCCGTTACAAGAATACGCGGTAAACGGTACGGGTTTGAGAGGTGTGTGGTTCTGAATAATATTGGTCGCACAAGCCCTTGTGTTCAATTGCCACGGCGGTGATCCTGAATCCTGACTCCATACCCCAACAACATTGTGGCCGCAACCTTAATGCTGACCCTGTCCGTACCGCTGCAGCACGACCTAATCCTAATACCATCCACATCGCTACAGCACTAACCCAACGTTATAGCAGTCATCCTAACTTTATCCATCACCCGTACAGCACTAACCTTAGCACGGGCACCAATTCTACTCGCAGCACTTCTTTTTAGCTTGTAGTTCATCCCCGCCCCGCACCTCAGATTAGCGTGGCTGGCCACGTACGACGGGAATAGAAGTTCCGACGTGCAGTTCCTTCTCCTGTAACGGCGCGTGTTTTTGTAACGAGATTTGGATGTAGTAATGCGATCGAGTGAACGTCGCGCGCGAGTAGGAATAAGCGGTGGTTGTACGGCGGTCTGCCTCGGTGTAGCGTCGTCATCATCGTCATCGTCGTGATTATTATCGTCGTCGTCGTCGCCATCGTCGTGATTATTATCGTCGTCGTCGTCACCATCGTCGTGATTATCGTCGTCGTCACCATAGTCATCATCGTCATCATCGTCGTCATCATCATCGTGATTATCATCGTCCTCGTCACCATCGTCGTGATTATCATCATCGTCGTGATTATCATCATCGTCGTCACCATCGTCGTGATTATCATCATCGTCATCATCGTCGTCATCATCGTCGTCATCATCGTCGTGATTATCATCATCGTCGTCACTTTGGTTCTTTCGGTAAAGTAACGTAGGTAAAAATAAATAATTAAGTTAATCAAATCACGACATTCCAGGCGCAACACAAGCGCAACACAAGTGCCCGAAACGTCGTGATTTGATTAACTTAATTTTTTATTTTTCATCTACGTGGCTTTACCGAAAGAACCATAGAGTATGGATCATTGCAGTCACGAAAACTTCATATCTAGAATTATCATCGTCGCCATCATCATCATGATCATTGTCATCGTCGTCGTCGTCATCTTCATCACCATCGCACGAGGCTTTGTGACACTGCATCTCACGAATTGGATGTAGTAACGCGATCAATTGAACGTCGCACGCGAATAGGAACAAGCGGTGGTCGTACGGCGGTCTGCCGTGGTGTAGCATCGTCGTCGTCATTGTCGTCATTGTCGTCATCGTCGTCATCGTCGTCATCGTCGTCATCATCGTCATCATCATCGTCGTCATCGTCATCTTCACCACCGTCGTCATCATCATCATCATCGTCATCTTCATCACCGTCGCACGAGGCTTTGTGACGCTGCTGGATGATGCTTCTAGACGCTACCCAGCACCACCAGCACCACCACCACGCGTCTCTCAGTCTCTGCGTCACGACGTCTCACGGCGTCACCGCGGCCTCTGCGTCACCCCCCCCCCCCCCCCACGTGAACCGTCACCGCGGCCTCGCAACCCCCCGTTGGTTCTCAATCGTTACAAAATTGCACGATGTCAACAGCCACGCGCGCAGTTTTGACGAAACAAAGCGAGTTGGAGCTTCACGTGGCCGGCCATCTCTCGCGCCCCCAGAAAGGGCATCACTCACACGCCCGCCCAGGTTAAGAACCACCGCTGTGTAGTGTTCACCATAGCGCAAAATTTCCCATGAGCCGGGGGTGTTCTTCGGGAGCGGGCTGTAGGTGAGCTCTTAACCCCGACGGGACTAACGCCTCGCCCCGTGGCGTGAGGATCCAGGCGACGGGCAGGGTGAGACTGGCAAGGCGCTGGAGCGCACGGACAGGGGCTATCGCTGCAGCCTTCACATGCCCAGCGCCTTCTTCAAGTGAGAGGCAGAGGCGCGCACCACCGCATGTTACTACACACACCTCGTTACTACACACACCTCGTTACTACACACACCTCGTTACTACACACACCTCGTTACTACACACACCTCGTTACTACACACACCTCGTTACTACACCCCGCGTTACTACACACACCTCGTTACTACACACACCTCGTTACTACACCCCGCGTTACTACACACACCTCGTTACTACACACACCTCGTTACTACACACACCTCGTTACTACACACACACCTCGTTACTACACACACCTCGTTACTACACACACCTCGTTACTACACACACCTCGTTACTACACACACCCCGCGTTACTACACACGCCTCGTTACTACACACACCTCGTTACTACACACACCTCGTTACTACAGACACCCTGCGTTACTACACACCCCGCGTTACTACACACCCCGCGTTACTACAGACACCCCGCGTTACTACACACACCTCTTTACTACACACACCTCGTTACTACACACACCCCGCGTTACTACACACCCCGCGTTACTACACACACCCCGCGTTACTACACACACCCCGCGTTACTACACACCTCGTTACTACACACACCTCGTTACTACACACACCCCGCGTTACTACACACACCTCGTTACTACACACACCTCGTTACTACACACCTCGTTACTACACACACCCCGCGTTACTACACACACCTCGTTACTACACACACCTCGTTACTACACACACCTCGTTACTACACACCTCGTTACTACACACACCTCGTTACTACAGACACCTCGTTACTACAAACACCTCGTTACTACACCCCGCGTTACTACACACACCCCACGTTACTACACACACCTCGTTACTACACACACCGCGTTACTACACACACCTCGTTACTACACACACCTCGTTACTATACACACCCCGCGTTACTACACACCACCCCGCGTTACTACACACACCCCGCGTTACTACACACACCTCGTTACTACACACACCTCGTTACTACACACCTCGTTACTACACACACCCCGCGTTACTACACACACCTCGTTACTACACACACCTCGTTACTACACACACCTCGTTACTACACACCTCGTTACTACACACACCTCGTTACTACACACACCTCGTTACTACACACACCTCGTTACTACACACCTCGTTACTACACACACCTCGTTACTACAGACACCTCGTTACTACAAACACCTCGTTACTACACCCCGCGTTACTACACACACCCCACGTTACTACACACACCTCGTTACTACACACACCGCGTTACTACACACACCTCGTTACTACACACACCTCGTTACTATACACACCCCGCGTTACTACACACCACCCCGCGTTACTACACACACCCCGCGTTACTACAGACACCCCGCGTTACTACACACACACCTCGTTACTACACACACATCGTTACTACACACACCCCGCATTACAACACACACCTCGTTACTACACACACCCCGTTACTACACACACCGCGTTACTACACACACCCCGCGTTACTACACACACCCCGCGTTACTACACACACCTCGTTACTACACACACCGCGTTACTACACACACCTCGTTACTACAGACACCCAGCGTTACTACAGACACCCCGCGTTACTACACACACCTCGTTACTACACACACCGCGTTACTACACACACCTCGTTACTACACACCTCGTTACTACACACACCTCGTTACTACACACCTCGTTACTACACACCTCGTTACTACACACCTCGTTACTACACACACCCCGCGTTACTACACACACCTCGTTACTACACACCTCGTTACTACACACACCCGCGTTACTACAGACACCTCGTTACTACACACACTGCGTTACTACACACACCCCGCGTTACTACACACACCCCGCGTTACTACAGACACCCCGCGTTACTACACACACCTCGTTACTACACCCCGCGTTACTACAGACACCCCGCGTTACTACAGACACCCCGCGTTACTACACACACCCTGCGTTATTACACACACCTCGTTACTACACACACCTCGTTACTACACACACCTCGTTACTACAGACACCCCACGTTACTACAGACACCCCGCGTTACTACACACACCTCGCGTTACTACACACACCTCGTTACTACACACACCTCGTTACTACACACCTCGTTACTACACACACCCCGCGTTACTACAGACACCCTGGTCGTAATGACGTGGTGATGATGATGATGATGACATGGTGATGATGATGACGTGGTGATGATGATGATGACGTGGTGATGTTGACGCGGTGATAATGATGACGTGTGGATGATGATAATGTAGTGATGATGATGATGATGACGCGGTGATGATAACGACGTGTGGATGACGACGTGGTGATGATGACGACGTGGTGATGATGACGACGTGTGGATGACGACGTGGTGATGATGACGACGTGGTGATGATGACGACGCGGTGATGATGACGACGTGGTGATGATGATGATGACGTGGTGATGATGACGACGCGGTGATGATGACGACGCGGTGATGATGACGACGTGGTGATGATGATGACGTGGTGATGATGACGACGTGGTGATGATGACGTGGTGATGATGATGATGATGATGACGTGATGATGACGACGCGGTGATGATGACGACGTGTGGATGACGACGTGGTGATGATTATGACGTGGTGATGATGACGACGTGGTGATGATGACGACGCGGTGATGATGACGACGCGGTGATGATGACGACGTGTGGATGACGACGTGGTGATGATGATGATGACGTGGTGATGATGACGACGTGTGGATGACGACGTGCCAGGTACGTCATCGGCAGGAAGGGGGAGACGAAGCGCAGGCTGGAGTCTGACACTCGCTGCAGCGTCACCATCCCCCGCATGGGCACAGAGGGGCCCGTGGGTGGGTGGCCTGACGCACCCACACGGTGTCACGTGTGTGGGTGTCGTGTGTGTGTGGTGTGTGTGTGTGGTGTGTGTGTGTGTGGTGTGTGTGTGTGTGGTGTGTGTGTGTGTCGTGTGTGTGTGTGTCGTGTGTGTGTCGTGTGTGTGTGTGTCATGTCATGTATGTGTGTCGTGTGTGTGTGTGTCGTGTGTGTCGTGTGTGTGTCGTGTGTGTCGTGTGTGTGTCGTGTGTGTGTCGTGTGTGTGTCGTGTGTGTGTCATGTGTGTGTGTCGTGTGTGTCGTGTGTGTGGTGTGTGTCTTGTGTGTGTCGTGTATGTGTCGTGTGTGTGTCGTGTGTGTGTGTCGTGTGTGTGTCATGTGTGTGTGTGTGTGTCGTGTGTGTGTGTCGTGTGTGTGTGTGTCGTGTGTGTGTGTCGTGTGTGTTTGTCGTGTGTGTTTGTCGTGTGTGTGTGTCGTGTGTGTGTGTAGTGTGTGTGTGTCGTGTGTGTGTGTGAGTGCCGTGTGTGTGTCGTGTGTGTGTGTCGCGTGTGTGTGTGTCGTGTGTGTGTCGTGTGTGTGTGTCGTGTGTGTGTGTCGTGTGTGTGTGTCATGTGTGTGTGTTATGTGTGTGTGTTATGTGTGTGGTGTGTGTGTCATGTGTGTGAGTGTGTGTGTGTCGTGTGTGTGTGTCGTGTGTGTGTGTCATGTGTGTGTGTGTACTGTGTGTGTGTACTGTGTGTGTGTACTGTGTATGTGTACTGTGTGTACTGTGTGTGTGTACTGTGTGTGTACTGTGTGTGTGTGTACTGTGTGTGTGTACTGTGTGTGTGTACTGTGTGTAATGCGCGCGTGCAGTGGTGTGCGGGGAGTCTCGCTCCTCCGTGCTCTCGGCGTGCTCCCGCGTGGAGCTGTTGGTGAGCGGCGCCCGTGAGCGCGAGGCCTGGACCCACTTCGTGTGCCTGCCGCTCGGAACGACGGCC